AACTTTTGGTTAGTAGCCAAGTGCTTAACAGTTTGTACCACCCAGGCAGCATAAGGAGGCTTGTAACTGATCCCTGGGAAAACAGAAAAGAAGCCTTGGTTGTCAAAGAAGAGGAAGCACGCGGTGGAGGGTAGGCAAAAACTGTATGCACAGGCACTGCCAGAGCAGGAAGCGTATGTGGTAGGGGAGAGAAGTTAGCACTATTATCTCTTCCTTTCAGGCAGAGGTATGGTTAAACTTGATCTTGATAATTTTGTCCCCACCAAAAAAAACCATTTTGTCATATGTTTCAATGTTCTCTGTTGTGAAAGCTGAAAAAGCATGGTTGTAAGGAGTCAAAATGTGGACACAGAAGATGATAAGCATCTCAGAAGGGGGTAGAAAGTGCTGGTGAAAAATGGGATATGAAACAATTTGGAGGTTATATGTCCTGATTTGCAAGCTTCTGTTGAAAATTTTCACAAAATAGTCTCATGTCCAAACACCAAAGACTGTACTCAACTTGTTTTTTGTCTAGATCCCTTCTGATTCTCAGTTATTTGCCACATGCATAATGAACTGTTTATATCCTCCTAGGAGGCACCATAAGGAGCCCTGGTGCCACAATGGTTAAACGCTCAGCTGCAAACCGAAAGGTTGGCAGTTTGATCCCACCCAGCAGCTCTGCGGGGGAAAGACTTGATGATTTGCTCATGTAAAGATTACAGTTTAGAAAAAACCATGTGGAAGTTCTGCTTTGGCACATGGGGTCATTATGAGTTGAAACTGACTCAGCGGCACCCAACAACAAATCAAAAACCAAACCCACTGCCACTGAGTCGATTCCAACTCATAGTGACCCTATAGGACAAGTAGAACTGCCTCCTAGGGTTTCTAAGGTTCCAGTCTGCTTTATGGAAGCAGACTGCCACACCTTTCTCCCACGGAGTGGCTGGTGGGTTTGAACTACTGACCTTTTGGTTAGCAGCCAAGTGTTTTAACCACTGCACCACCAGGGCTCCTTCAACAGCGATAGGAAGTGCCATAAACAGCCACTTCTTCAGGCCGTTTCCCAGCAGATGTGGGGTATTTTCACTGAGCAAGAGGCAAGCAAGTAAAATTCAAGGGTCTATCATTTTAAGTCCTGGCTCAAACATCACCTTTTCTTAGAAATCCTTCCCTGAACTCTAGCAGGCAGAATCGTTATGCCCTCCTATGTGTTCCAGCAGCCTTACACATACTGGGCAATATCACATTGTTTATCTTTGTTCTGTTCTGCTAGATTGTGAGTTGGTCAAGGGCTCGACCATGGTGTTCACCTCTGCATGCCCAGTGATGCGAGCAGTAACATGGCATGAAGCATTAAGTTCTTTTTGGATAACCATGTAAGTGAATGAAGTTTGTTTCTTAATTCCAATAGCACATTGGTTGTTGTTGTTGTAGTATCTCATTGAGTCGATTCTGATTTATAGCGACCCTATATGACAGAGTAGACTGCCCCATAGGGTTTCTTAGGCTGTAATCTTTACAGGAACAGATTGCTAGGTCTTTTCTCCCATGGAACCTTTGGCCGATTGGAACCACTGACCTTTTACTTAGCAGTCGAGGGCTTAACTATTGCACCACCAGGGCTCCTTATGCACATTGGTTAGGTCCATTATTTCCTGAAGACACAATGGGAAGACAGCACCTTGGTTAATAAATTTTTGTAGTGAAATTATGCTAATATATATTTTTAATAGTCTTTGCTCAAGCAAATGAGCCCTGGTGGTGCAGTGGTTGAAGAGCTCAGCCGCTAACTGAAAGGCCAGTGATTTGAACCCACCAGCTGCTTCGTGGGAGAAAGATGTGGCAGTCTGCTTCTGTAAAGATTAGAGCCCTATGGGGCAGTTCTATTCTGTCCTGGAGGGTTGTTACGAGTTGGAATCAACTCGATGGCAGTGAGTTTGGGCTCAAGAAAATATTTTCGTTTCCTAGAGAACAAGGAGACATGTTATCGCATCCCAGAAAGACAAAACAGATGATTAGATGTACAATTTGTGGTATCTTGATGCTTATTAAAGAGTCATTTAAGATTATGTCTATCATTAAACTGAAATGAAAGAGGCCAGAACCTTCAGTGAATCTCATGTGTACTCAGTTTTGCTACAGTTATGCTATTAGAATGAGTACATTGGTTTAGCTCTAACCCTAATTTAGGCCTACTACTCAATCCAAAGCTATTTAGATTTGCTCAGAGGATATACCACGGACTTCACGCACTTCCATGCTTCTATTGTCCCATCTTTGCCATTACAAGAGGACTTTGAATCCTCCCCTCAACACTCAGAAGGAGCACACAGTCAGTCTAATGTATTGGCAGACAGTGGAGTCTTTAGTGTGGAAAATTTTAGCTTCCATACTCTCTTAGGAATGGGTCCTAGCAAGTAGAATCCTACCTAATTCAGTTTCGGAGACTCTGCCACAGAGAGCCATATAAAGTATCCAACAGACAGGAAGAGAGAGAAAGACAGCAGACATTAAAGTCAGAGATGGAGCCAGAGATTCCAAGATACAAAGATACACCCATACACGCAAACAATGCTTCAAACTTGGGTCGTCTTGTGAAGCTGAGTGTACCTAAAACAGGGAGACAGACGTTCAAAGGTGCGGTTGGAGAACTTCTCACTTAGAAATGGCTGAACTGAAACACAAGTAGAGAAGGCTGTAGAAAGGAGGCGCATTTCCTTCTGTCCTGCTGTTTTCTCTCACTTTCTCAACTTTCACTAAAGGCCCCATTTTTGAATTCTGCAAATTCCACCAATCTCAGGCAGAATTATTTTC